AGGTTGAGGATGTTAGCTAAGAACTATGAGTTTACCAGCATGGATGCAGAGATTAAAATGCAAAGATGATGTGTTCAAAGCTAAAATGTGAATGCAAAAGTCTTAAAGATACTGTTACAGCAGAATTGCACTAGTTCCAGATAACTTATGTTAAATGCAGTATAACAGCCAAATGTTTAAAGCTATTAAAAAAAAAGGGCAATGTGATATTCATGTGAATGTATTGTGCTCAGTATAACTGTGCCCCCTGCTGTCTACACAGCATATAGATACACTAGCAGTGATGAAGTGCACAGTAAGCATGTATAACGTGTGTGAGCCAGCACTGGTTAATAAACCCTGTTAACGTCCAGCAAGTTGAGTCTTTCATGTCCAATCACAACATGGAAACATTACAGTGGGGTGGATGATTGGACTGTCCAATTTTTTTAAAACCAAAGGGGTGTTTAGATGAGCCACTTTACCTAAGCTCCCCTTTTTTAAGTAGAGCAATTTTTTGTATCTCCCCTGCACTCAAATATGGACTGGCTAGCAATACATGATCACCCAAACGTTTTTTAATGTATTTATTTAATTTGTATCATTTTAAAGTTAGGAGATGAAGGCAGTCTCTAGACCAGGGATGTCCAAACTACGGACCGGGGGCCAACTGTATAAATAACATAAAAGTAAAAAACTAAACAAATTCTAAAAGTATAATGGCCCCTTGTCATATATTGTACTTCTTAAATATATATATTTTAAAAAATGAATCTGGTTGCTGCTCGCCAACCAAACTGAGCAGCAATCTGAGGCTTCTGTTTTAAGGAATAAGCTGCCAACACTTTTTGTAACAAAGAAATTAAATAATTTGTTTTTTCAACTGTACCTTCTCTCGCATATTTATGCGTACCCTGATCCTTTTACACAATACAAATACATACACTTTTATTTATGTATCGTATTTATAGACAGTTTACTCATGTTTACAGGTCTCTCTTGGAAATGAGACCTTGTGTCTCAATGAGATTTTAAACCTGTATAAATAAAGGCTAAATAAAAAAAAAATGTGTTTACTTACCTGTTTGTCCATTTCAAAACTAAGGGTGTGGCTCAGACAAGTACTGTCATGTCCCAAATTACAGATGCATTGGCATATTGATCTTTTATTTCAGAAACTGACACTACAAGAGAGCTATGTCAATGTTTTCTAACAATATTTAATTTATCAGAAAAATGTGTGAAACAAAACTGACTTTTAACAAACCAGGTTTATGGATCTTGAAAACCTAAGGTCTTTACTACACCAACCCAATCCTAGATTTAAGGGGGGTGTCCGGTCTTATTCAGCCTAACTAACCAGTTTACTTTTGCTGAGTCAAACTGCAGTATAATATAAAAAAGAAATAAAAGGCAACTGCTGCCTACATGGGCCTCTGGACTTTGGACATAAGTAAAGTTAAGGCTTACAAGATGTGTTGCTAAAAGCTTTTCTAGTGTACAGTGGTTTATGATTCAGGGTCATGGATGAAACACATTTTCTCCACAATATACCAGCCTGGCTAACAAGCAGGTGCAGGAGTGAAAGAGTGAAGAAGGATAATACTCCATACATTTCTCAAGATAATCAACATCAGGCATAACTCTGAAGTTAGGCCTGAATTTGATTGTGCTTATACCAACTGTTTATCAAACTAGGGCCTCCCCTGAACTGAGTTCCTGCAGCCTCTCTGTGGTGGATATTGCGGCTGTCTCACAAAGAATAAAGCCTAACCCCAAAGCAGGAAATGAACCAATAAAATGCAAAAAAACAAATGCTAATTATACATACAGGGATGGTGAATGAAGTATGAGCATGAATACTTTTTTTTAATCTGTATAAATCAGAACCTTTTTATTTCACTGGTATCAAAATAGTCCTCTATACAAATTGTTAGATTTCCTCTATAACCTAAAACATACTTTTATTTAATCAGATGCTAACAAAAATAACACAAAAGTAAAAAATCAAAATGGAAACAACAGTAGGCCTACCTCATTCATATTTGAAGAGTTGTCCGTTTGGTTCAGCTTGTGCCAAGTTTGTCAAATAAATGATGTTTCATCAGTTCTCCTATTTATAAAGGCTGCTGATGTCCAACCCCTAATCGTCGTTTCCCGGTACATACAGTGTGTTTCGTTTTCCAAACAAGTCAAAAGCCATATTGTACGAATCGAAACTTACGAGGGCAGCAAAATCAGTGCTATCACAGATAGTTTCTTGTGAACTCCCCAATGAAACGAAACTTTTCTGAGGGACGAGGAAGTCACTGTAGGATAGTATACCTCATTGATATTGACTTGGAATATGCAATAAATGCCCATCATATACTTGGTGTTGTAAAGTTTGCACACACTGATTTAATGTTGGATCATCATAACAATAATTTGTCCGGTATAACTCATTTTTAATTTAGGATGTGCAGACTCTCCTACATTAATAATGTCTCCTTCTCTGCGACGCATAGGCAATACAAGTTATTCCGCCGCACGCTAGATGTTGCTGCAGCCCCTGTGTCCGGTAAACAGCCCTTTGCAGGAAAAAGGAGGGCTCGAAATGCTATCACTCAGCCTTTATTTTACGGGTGTAATTACAGTGCTTAACTGCACTTAAAGGATTATTTCTATCAACAAATGCCCGTTTTCTTAGGAAGAAAGAACACGGTATGTAAAATCCCTTGTTTATGTGCCATTATTCGCATCGTAACATCGCATTGTTAAGGGCGAAGCCAGGCCTACACTGTAGTATCTGTTCTTCAGCAAGCTAGTGTATTTCTATACATCCATGGTGTTTCTGGTTTTCAATTGTGCATGCCGATTAGTTTTAGAACCGTTTAACAACACTCGTAATCCGGTCAGTTATCGTGCGTCATTAACAGGGAAGTGAAGAAAATATGATTATAATCGTCATCATATAATGGTTTTCCTTTTTTTATGGCAATAAAGCTGATAAGACACAGACTTTATACATGCATGTCTACCCTCAGCTACACCACTTTAAAGCACGATAAACATAATGTGTTTATCCCTTTCAGATGTCCCTATGATGTGTCACAGAATGAAAACCCCGCCCCTCGCCCCTGTGGTAATGTAGATAGCACCATGTTGGATAAAACCAGTGCTAAAGACCAACAGACTGGGCAGTGCTCGGACTGTCGATGCAGCCTTCCACAGCTGGACTCTGACACAACCTCCACTTCCTCCCCCCCTTCCAAGTGTGCATCCTGCCAGGCAGGCAGCAGCCTCCCTAACGGGCGGCGCTCACACCGCCGCCTCCGCCTGGACCCTCACAGCTGCAGCCTGTGCTCCAAAACATTCATCTCCTCCGCCCACCTGACCCTTCACCTGGCATCCCACAACAAGGAGAGGAAATTCAGATGTAGCACCTGCGGCAAGTACTTCCATCAGTCCTCCCACCTGATGGCACACAAGATAATACACAGCGGGGACCGGCCATTTAAATGCTCGGAGTGTGGCAAGACCTTCGGCCGGGCCTCACATCTGAAGACCCACCAGCGGCTCCACACAGGCGAGAAGCCCTTCAAGTGCACCTACTGTGACAAGTCGTTCACACAGAAGGCTGGGCTCCTGGCTCATGTTCGCCTACACACAGGGGAGCGGCCGTATAAGTGTGAGCAGTGTGGGGCCGGTTTTCGCTCTCTGCCCCTCCTGCTCTCTCACAAGGCTGAGGAAGTGTCGGGAAAGGTCAAACCAGTGCCAGTGCCAGTGCCAGTGCCAGTGCCAGCGCCAGCTCCGGCACAGACACAGAGTAGCAGCGAGGATCTGAAGTGTGGGGTCTGCTGCCGCACCTTTGTACGATCATCATACATCAGGCTGCACATACGCCTCAACAAAGGACAGCGGCCTTATCACTGCAAAGTGTGCAACAAGACCTTTGTCAAGCTGGATACATTTGTCAACCACTGTGACAAACACTTGAGGCAGAAACGTGCTAAGAGTGGGGTTACAGAGGTTCAAGACAAAGTTGTTAAACCCCCCATGTTTGTCCCGCTCTCCAGGCCTCCTTCTCCTGAATCCTTACCCACTCAGCCTTTATCCTCAGAGGTCAACACGCGCTCCAGAGCTAAAGCAAAGAGTAAAACAGAGCCATGACCAATGAGAGTGCATCCACAGACAAAAAAGAAATGTGCCATGACAGTTCTGAAAGAGACGAACACAACATTTGAAATTCAATAATTCCCAAAACGTTATTTTATTTGTATCAACATTAGTTTACTTTTTGTACAGACATTTTATTTAAAATAATGAATGTTATTTAATATCTCTAGTTAAAAATGGTAATGCCTATTTTAGCTCATTAGGATAATTAAGAATTTAAGTGGCATACAATGTTCACTCTAATCTTCGAATGTACAAAAATGATTAATCTCAAACCATTATCAATTATGGTTAATCTGTTTCTTGAACCTGTACAAGCCTTTTGGCATGTAAAACACTTGAACAAAGTAAGAATCATGTAAATTGAATGCCTATTGTAAAACAATATGCACATAAGAGTAAACATAAACATAAAATCTTCTCCTTTTTGCACCTGAGATCACAAATATCTGTTCAAAACAGTTTGTTGTTTCAGATTTCAACCATTGTCTTCAGCCCAATATTTAAATACGTTTTAATATATATAATACAGTTAAAATAATGCTCCTCTGTTCATTTGTAGCATGTAACTTCTTTGTTAATCGACCCTTTTGACATGGGTGTTCTGTAGTTCCCAGGCCTTTGACCGTCACACTTCATTCCATCAGCAGCAGCTCACAGCTCATATCCTACTGACCCTGAACTCAACACAAGAGGTTTTAAACTCTTTCCCTGTAGATCTCCAACACTTGCAGAGAATCCGTCACCTCCACATGGGGAAACTATTTTTCCCAACCTATGGACGGAGAGAAAAACCCCCCAAATGAACATCTCTAACAACAAGTCAAAGTCAAGATAGGACTATGGGGAGTCTAATGTATGAGTCACTTTGCATGAGTCACACATGTAACCACAATGTTGTATAGAATCAAAGAATCTACCATCAATGTATCAACATGTTTATGAATAAAGAGATTTCAAAGTGAAGAATAAATGTTTGCCTGGCCCTTTTCCGTTCCCCCCGTGCTGCTGTTAATACTCCAGTGCAGGTTGATGATCATGTGGCGTCTCTAGACGGGGTTCCTGCGCAGGACGATGGTTCCAGCGATTGAGTCTCCCTCCAAAACTCTGACCGGCCGGTCCAGCATGAACAGAGTCTGCTTCCAGTGCGTTGGCCTGAAGAAAATAAACAACTTAACACTGTCATGCATTAAAGTTTGTGACTTTTTGTGACACTTTAAGATTTTAACAACATTATTTGCACATAGATAAATACGCTAGCTTTTGTGTTTATTGTTTGGTGTATTTGTATTTTGCAAATTACAAATTCTGATTATTTAAATTATGTGTCAAGGGCTGTTAAAAATACTGTTCAGGGCTCAGGAGCACTGCTGTTAGAGAAAAAACTATCCTTCACATTAAAACTACACAACATAATATACACACATCTTTGTCTCTTTCAATTTCATGATAGATTAGGTATAACGAGCTAAGGCCTACAACTTTTCAGACTATACATTTGCTTTAGTTTTTCACTATTTCATAAGTATTATTGTATATGTGTATTTGAGTTGTATATCTTGAAAGCCACAAAGATCCTATACTAAACTAAAGAGTGAATAATTTGTTTTACTCAGAGTGAGGTCCGGTGTTTAACTGCACTGTTGCTACTCCTGTCTCCAGGCTTTCGAACTGGACAGTGAATCCATGATACACACCAGACATTTCCACCAAAATGAAACTGCCCCTTTATTTCCTGAGAAATGAAACACATGGCACTATCAGTTAGCATATCCAGCCTGTTTAGGGTGGAGCATTCATTGTATAAAAGGGAAATACCCAGCACCTCCAGGTCTCTGATCTGCAGAGTGTACATGTCCAGGCGCAGGACATCACAGGGAGCCGTGAGGCAGTCGCTGGGGTCAATGAGGTGACTGAACTTTGGCTTGGTGAAAAACTCCTGCTGTGCCAAGGGCCTGCAGAGATGAAACAGTATCAATAACTTTTGGAAATGAAGTTGATGAACCTGAAAATATAATTGAAACTAAACCGGGCAAAGGACAAATTGAAGTTCTGCACACATGTCATAAGATAACTAAGAAATAGCATAAAAGGTAAACAACGCTAGTCGCTGTATGCCTTACTAATTCTAATTTAAAGTGTGTGGTGTACTCTTTTGTCTAGAAACATTGGTAAACAGTAACAGATTACAAAAATGCTCATGCACTTAGTCACAACAGTTACTACTGGTAAGAAATGGTCTGCTAAATATGGACTGCTAAATGAGAAATAAAGTGTATAAAATACCTGCAACACCTTTCAGAACAAAATAATGTTATTTGAGACCATCGGATCTGATTGGACTCAATAATTCCTTCAGTGATTCACTTTTATTGTGTTGATTGCAAACCTTTACTCCAGTTCACCATGCTTTATTCACCCAAATATTTTTTACTATTTTGCATTGTGCAAAACACGCTGATGCGTTCATCAGGATGTCGCCTCATGCTGTTCCAGTTTGAACCACATCCTGCCCATTCTGGTAACTTTTCATTGAGTATTGTGACCACTTTTTATTTTTCAGGGCAACTCGAGGCAACTTACAAAGACGCCAGTTAGTTGCTGCCTGAGACCAGCTGCCTGCTGGTGGATCAGTCACACTGGATCTATTTTGAAAACACAATTACTGCGTACATATTGAGGGATTTATGTACAAATTGTGTGTATATTTGTAGAAATGTACATGGTGGGAACAAAGTTAACTGTGCTTACAATAATGAATCAACAGATTGCCGTGTGCTTGACATACAGTAAAATATTGTGGCATGTAGAGTCGATACAAACAAATGTATTCTCAAACAATTGAGAACTTTTGTGACCGATATACACTTTACTTAAATTAAAATGTGCTGTTCACAGTGAATGTGACACTAATTTGAGTTTTATTGCACTTCAAGAAAATGGTTGCCATAGATGTGGCTTCTATTCTGATTGTCACATCATGATCCCTCGCATCACTACCTGGCACCACAGATTATTATACTCAACGATTAAACTTTACATCTGGGATCAAGAACAGCTGAGTAGTGGATCTTACTGAAGAGGAGTAAAGTCCAGTCCATAGGGCTGCTCCCAGAAGGCCATCTTCTCTGCGTAAAACCTGTTGGCCTGACATGGCACCAGGGTGAGGGCTGCGGATGAGGGCCACATTACGCCGCCTTCTTTAAGCCAGCAGTCCCTGGCCAGCAGAACTGACTCCACCATGAACTCAAACTAGACCAGAGGGCGGAGAAACAGACACAGGACGAGGTATATTCAACTCTGAGTGGGACTGTGAGTGGAAGAGCATTATGGGATCTGAATACAACTTAAATACAACTTAAATAAAGCAGCTAAAGTAGAACAGATATTACCATTATACCTTGTGTTATTACTTATTATTGCCAGTAGGCAGTTTCCCATCCACTCAGACACCAGGATGTCCACCCGCTCTGGTAGATGGATGTCCTCAGCTCGTCCCTGGAGCACCGTCACCACCTCCTCACAGCCGTTCTGCTTCACCAGCTGTCTGGTGTACTCGGCCATGGAGCTCGCCTCCACAGCAAACACCTACAAATCCAAAATTAGACACTGCTCACCCTGGGGTTTGTTCCATGTAGCAATACACCTTGTCCAGCAGATGGGAGTATAAGTACACCAATGCCTGTGAGGATTTTTTTTTGTACATTATACTGAGATTCTGTCTTTCCACATTTCTCATATTTCCAACTTCCTATGGGTTGTTATTAGGTAATTTTGTTGACATTTTAGACATATACTTTGAGCTTTAAAATATACTTTCGGGAAAAATTCAATAATGCAATTATGAAATAATGTATATTAAAGGTAGGGTAGGTAAGTTTGAGAAACCGGCTCAAGATACACTTTTTGTTATATTCCATGGAATGCTCTTAACATCCCGATAGCAATGAATATCTTAAGTGCTTTGACAAAAAATCCATAAAAAAAATGTCATCTGTGGAAGCCGTAGTACTGTAAAAAGCACGACCAATCATTTTAGCCGGCCCGGCTAAAATAACTGGATGGCCTACCTGCCTGTCAGCCTTCCATGTGCACAAACTTATCTCGTGCCCTCATTGGTCATGTGCGCGTTCGTGTGTGTTGGAGGAGGGGCTCTATAGAGTGGCGAAGTCCCTCCCCTTCCGGTGGACCTCCATGGGACCTTATTTCGGAAAAATTATGTATTGAAGTCAATGGAGAGAGAAAGATTATCTTTCGATCCCGTTTGAATTGTGCCACAAATTACACATATGATGTTTGTCAATTTAAAAGATAATTTTGCAAGTCAAAAAAAAAAAAATGTGTCGTAAAACTGTGAAGTAACACATTTGTTTGTGTGAAACGCTCAATGAACTACATCTCTGGTCAACAACACACGTCACCAAGATGGCCGTCACTACTGTCTTGTCAACAAAACGATTGACTATCCTCACTATCACCACAATGAAACACATCCTGAAGAATGTCATGCAAAGCTGCCTGCCTGCCTTCCTTTGATTCTCTCTGAACTGCCTGGTCGTTTTAATGTTTAATGTCAACCATTTGTGCAGATAGCATGAAGTAGAGAAGATCGCCGATGCTAACGTTAGCGTTAGCATTTCTCCCCCGGGCTTAAATGGTGTATTATAGAATGATCACACCGGTGACAGTACTATTCAAAGGGTTCACGAAATATGACTACTACTCTTACTGTTTAACATTTTGGGTTAGTTAATGTTACTTCATGTTAAGGCTAATAAAAATGACAAGGCTGTAATGCTAACTAACGTGCTAGCTACTAGCTAGGTAGCTAACTTGATCAAGCCACTCCTGGTCCTTTCATCAGACGGGAAGCAAAAGAACGAGCAAGACCCATTGCTGGTATAATAACAACCTGGTACTAAGCACACAGGCATCTTGTTAAAGTTATCTTATCTTAGCCAGCGCCATATAGATAGATTATATCTATATTGCGCTGATCTTAGGTATCTGAATGGTGGAGGAAAACAATTGTGACATCACTTACGCGACTCTGGGATTTGTAGTCCTTCTAGTTACGTATTTTTCATAGTCTTATATTTCAAAAGTTTTACGACAAACTGTGACTTTTTTGACATGGAAATTATTTTTTAAGATTGACAAACATCATATGTGTAATTCATGGCACAATTCAAACGGGATCGAAAGATACGTTTTCTCTCCCCATTGACTTCAATGCATAATTTTTCCGAAATAAGGTCCCATTACCCGGAAGTAAGTGGGCGTGACTTCGCCACTCTATAAGGAAGTGGCAGATTTTCTCCGGTTGTGTATTTTCAAATTCTAGCGATCTCGAGTCGGTTTCTCAAACTTACCTACCATACCTTTAAGTGTCAAATGTGGTCTAATATCAAAACCCTTTGTTTTTCCAGCTGATAAGTTGTTAATACTTAATGGGAAATTCAACACATTTTACACAGTCTGTTTCTGTTTCCCACTAGCACTACTGTTTACATTACCTGTGAGGGGCGTGCCAGCTGAGCGCAGAACAGGCTGATGATGCCAGTCCCACAGCCGAGGTCCATCACCACCTTATTCCTCAGAGGAGCGCTGTTGCTGAGAATAACCTGCCTGTACACCTCAGTGCGCCTCCTATCTGACAGCATCTCCAAGTGAAGCCTCTGTGGGATAAGAAAATAAAATAAATAAAAAGTGATGAGAAAATACAGTTAGTGGTATGATTTGTGGATTTGACAAGTTAAATATGTGGAACATGTAACAAGTGATTTTAGGAACAACGTATAGGGATCAAATTGAACTATTAAGAATGTCCTCATTGTAAAACTTTCTGTGCACTTCATCTTAGGAAAATCTGATCGGCAAAGGTTTGTAAGTCAAAAGCTGAACAGCAGCATGTTCCATCTAATTCACATATCTATTCTGGGTTCTTCCAACATTGTTTGTGAATGTCTTCAATTTCTGAAACTCTCTGAATGTGTTCTTAAACACACCATATGCCCATAATGACATGTTTAAATATTGACCCATCTCACATCTTGCAGCAGATTCTCCACCTTCTGCCCTCAGGTTGGAGGTATAGGGTACTTTTGCACTTTGTACTAAATGCAATTTTACTCATGGCACATTGCAAACGCTGTTTTTGCTTGTACTTGTCGATAATAGAATGTGTTGCTGCCGTACAGTTGTGGTTGACGTTTATGTTATGGTCATGTGTACATTATGTTCCTCTGTTTTTATAATGTGCCAGAATTGTAATCCGGGCACAATAAAGATGTATTAAATTGAATTGAATTAGCATAACATGCATAACAGTGTGATCTTTGAACGTTTCTAACCAGGGTCCCATAACTGCCAAAGTATTCCTCATCTTGCCATGGGTCCTCCAGAGAGGTGTCCTCCTCCTCCTCTTCCTCAGCAGCAGGCAGCTGGCGCAGGTAGCAGGCGGGGACATACCCTGCGACCCCCTCTGCAGCTCTGCCCACCACCACTCTGAAGAAGTCTTGGCGTGCACGAGCAGCGTGTCCCCGCTGCGGAAACTACGAGACAAAAACAGCACAATTATAAATACCCGTCCGACTTTAAACTTTCCGGTACAGATGTGCAGTTATTAGACCAGGCGTCTGTGTCGCTGCCACCTCCAGTGAAATTAGACAGGGATACTCTTCAACAGATGCATCATCATCATCCTCTTTCTCTGTCAGCATGTCTGACGGCGCTGAATCGCCTGCTGTTTGGTTACCTGAAAGAAACAAGTGTTAACGAGGCCACACGGTGCATCGATAAGTTAAGACTGAATACTTTTGTGAAATGAGCAGTTAATATTATCATCACAATACTTCAACAGCATGAACACTTCCTGTTTTGACGTCAGTTTAAATTACTGTGCCTTCAGGTGCTGTCGGACACATTGTTATCATTGCTCGAATCGAAAATATACTGACATAATTCACGAGTTTCTATTCTAATGTTAAAAGTAATGAAACATAAATATTAAATAGCTCATGTTTAACATTCCACGTAAAATGTTTAAAAATATATATATAAGTGTTTGATCTGGTTATAACATCATATAATGCACATCAAATATTTTCTTCATTTTGTCACAAAATAGTTATATTCCAACACTCTATGCTCTTGTTACTGTAGGCTAATTAACATCTGAAGCATTCAAAGTAAAAGTGTATCATGGTGACTTCCAACCATAGAAACGGAATTTTAGAGGAGCACCTGAAGGCAGCACTGCGCTCTGGATTGGTGGGATAGAAACGACTTCATTGTTAAAAACTCTGACACTCTTCTTCTAGCACATATAAGAGAACGGTTACACAAATAATTACTACTGCATTTATTTTTCTCTTTTTTATTATTTTTTGAGTAGCATTAGTGCGCTTCTTAATTTTCAAAGTATTAACACCCAAGTAATTTAAATACAAATGTATACTTTAGTTATTAATTTCAGTCAGCGGAAGGTATAGGAGCTCACCCTTACCCTGCCACCAAAGTTACATTTCAATGTATACTATATACAATTATTTATTTTCCCTATTTTATGTGGATAAAAAAGACATGTAAGCACACTTGTTGTTTCTCGAGAACAAAGAAACTAAGAAATAATAAAAGGCACAGTTAACAGTATACAAACATAAAAAAATATGTATTTTCATTTAATAAAAGAATTAACATTGAACAAAACCATGACTTAATTAGGCATATATTCAGTGTGCAGCTCCAACAGCTTAATATTTCACACTTTATCTCATCACCTCAGTAGATCAAGCGTGTTTATTTAATTCAGTCTTCTGAAATGTGTGTTTTCTTTTGCTGTTCAACACAACAACCAACATTAAGGAGTTCTTGCCAGGAGCATGTCACACACTCTTTCTTTCAGCTGTCTTTTGTCTTTGACTTGAGGAAGGGCTTATGCAGCACATCATAGAGTCGCCTTGCCTGAAAACACAAAATGCCAACATAGTGCTTTTAGAAATGTTCCTTATGCCAGCTGTGTATTTATACCACGACGCACAGGTATTTTAACTCACTTTTTGGGGTCCAAGGCCTGGACAGAGAACCAAGTCTTCCTTAGATGCACTGATGATTCCTTCTACAGACTGATAGAAATGACAAAATACATCAACCCAAAAGGACAAGATGAATTCAGAGTACTCCATAAAATCAGCCTGTGGATATGCCTGTACATATTCACTGATTGTAGTGTAGCAGCAATTTGAGGAGAAATGTTCACTGAAGTGGTACTCACTGAGAAAGTGGACAGTAGGGTAATGGCATCGGTCTTGTTTATGGACTTCACAGTGGTGAGGCAATCAGTAACCTTAAAACAAACCAATCAAATCAGAAGTGCACCACTGTAATTGTATTGAATTGACCTCAGCATCCAGTTCAGTCCATAACACTGTAAGGTCCTCCGTATTTTTTTAATTGACAAAATTGTCAACAAAAAAATAGCAATGGACTACACATTCTTTAACGTGAAGACTTAAATCCACACACCTGCGACAGATAGTTTTTTTCAACTTGCTCCTTCAGTAAGTCTGCTGGTTTCTTTTCATATGACTTGTAGGTTTCCAGGTAACGGCCGGCCTCCTCTGCACTGTCAAAACAACACAAATATTACCTTTGTTTATTTATTATTTTCTAATTGTATTATGGAGGCACAGTGTTCCTTGCTCAACAGAAGCAGGCACATTAAATAGAGATCTGTTGATCCTGGTTCGAACCAACAAATATAATAAAACATATCTTATAAATGACACAATTAGATGCTTGAAGTTTTCAAGAATGTTTACAACCTCCTACAAACTTAAATTGCATTTCATGACACATTAAACATCAGAATATCAGTCTTTATCTTCTTATTGCACACTTTTGGGATATAAAGCCTAGGATTACAGAGAAGTATTTTAAAACTGTTTCCAACTATACTCTTCTCTATGTATGTTACTGTTCAGTCCTATTGGAAATCTGTTGCAGGTCGTACCTCCAAGCCAAGATCAGAGTGCAGTCAGCCATGATGCATATGCGAGCCAGCTCCTTCAACGTATGATGAGGGTCTTTCTGTAATAAAAAAACAATGTCAGAGAGAAAAACACAAATGCAATCTTGAATCTTTTTTAATGGAATTTATGTATAAAGAATTAGAAGGTTTTTGAAACACATCTGTTATTCTTTTTTATACAGCATCTAGTATTTGACATGTATGATTTCTTTCAATACAGTACTCTGAAAACTTTAGACTGGAATTACATTCTGTTAGATAATTGTACCGAGTCAAAAGGAACAGGGAGTACTCAACTGATGCAAAGTAGTAAAATACCCAGGAGAGCTTTAGATCAACGCATTATATTGCCCAGTACAAGTTAGAACTTTTTTCTTCTCAAAGCAAAGCACTTTTAGCTGTAACTTAACAAATTCTGACTGAATTATTATAACTTGTCAATGTTTTGATCACAAAACCACTTTTTACTTACCACATCTACTTGAACCAGCAACACTCGCAGGGTGAAAGTCTGTCCAAGCAGTTTGAGACGATCGTGGATATAGTTGGGATTGAGATTGTGATACCTCAGACTTCAAGACAGGCCCCAGCATCAGTGTTTCAGCAAAACAGAACAAGAGAGAAAATTAAAATGAAAAAAGTTGTATTTTGCACAATAAATTCGAAAAAGAATATCTCCTCTACAAACAACTCTTATTAGTCTCACATACAGTATACAGACACACACATACACTCTTCTTGAGGTAAAGAAAACACACCTGAGAAAGAGAGCACAAGTTGTCTGGCCCAGGATATAGTCTGGTATGGCCTCACCAAACTCCCAAGGGACACTCCTCACAAACTTCAGGATTGGATTTCCCCTCTGAATTGGTATAAAAAAAATGCAGAGGGATACTTACTGTTTAGCAAGCAAATAACAAGCAGGAGAACAGTCATATTTCCACACTAATGGGCACAGTATCAACAAACTGATGATTTATGAGTAAACCTTTTGACTCTGTATGGGAATGAGTGTGTGCAGAGGGTGAATGTATGGATGAGGAGCTGGTGTTTTCATTCAGAAACCTAATACATAATGTTGCATTGAGCCAAGAGGCACATACATGTTGATGCATACCTGCCGGGGACTGACAATAATGCTGCTCCCAGACCCCACTGGTTTTGGCCCCAGGTTTAGACTTGGATATGACCTTTGACAATTCCCCTCTTCCTGGTGTGTGCCATCATCCACCTGTGTCTTCTCACTATTCTTAGCCCCATCAGATCCATCTTCAGTCCCTTTAGCAGGGTCCTGAACTGTTTCACATAAGCCTGGGGCAGAACGCACTGAATCTGAGTCACTTTGCTTCAGATTGCTGTCTCCATCTCCTTCAGTCCGGAGCAGTTTGGAGGGACCCACTCTTTGAGGAGGACCAGCCACACTGCTTTTACTCTGGACGACATAATCTGCATAGGAAATAGGCTGGTCCACTGGTTCATTGGCAGGATTTGTTGAACATGAATTTGATGCGGAGGTGTTTTGTCCTCCTTTAGACGAAGCTTGAAACTGGGGCTTTGGCTGGAACACAAACAAATGAAAAATCCTGTCAGAGGCTCGAGAATTATGAAATGAATCGTGAAAAACAGAGTGGCTAACTTGGTTAGCAATTTAAAATGTAAGGAATGTACTAAAAGTAACGTTAGTTAACAGATGAACAACTAGCTAGCTAATTTCTAGATGCTGTACAAAGTTAAGTGTAGCTAAATACAGACCGGTGTTCTTTCTTTGGTGAAAGCAGAGTCATCCAGGTTGATGTTAAACCTCTTCTTCATGTTTTTTAGCTGCTTAATGGTTTGCTAGGTAACACCATAGGTTACTGCATGCCACTGAAGTATATTTCATACAATTCTCGCAAAGTAAACCACTATCCTCTCGCTTTGAGAACTACTGACACTGGAGCTGCAACAACAACATTACCACTTCCCAGCGCCATATAGTATAATATTCTATTATATGGCTCTGCCACTTCCGATCCGATACCTTCAGAATAAAAGCACACATATTAACTGACTAGACAACTTACATTTAGCACAAGCTATAACCATCTCATCATGTTTATTTTTGTCATTTTAACTATCAGAAATACATCTTGATTAAATGATGTTTATTTCTGGACCAGGGTATCAAACCCAGCAACACATAAGGATGATATAAATATCAAAATGGTGCATCAAAAACCAGATATAGGCTACATCCATGTATAGGATATACTTTCTTGACACTGTACATTATATAAAAGAATAAACAATAACGCACATCAAGACAAAACCAAGAAGTAGACATTATAGACCCACCGTTTTCTACAGTTAGCTAACGTGGAGCGTGTAGTTGTCAAGGCGACAGTGAGTGACGCCGCCATTCAAACCGCGAAGCATGGCATTTCGGGATACCTTTTCCATCATGGCGGATAAGGTTGTAAGCTAACGTTAACGGTTAGCATATTCAACCATTGTTGTTTTTTACACATTGCGGGACTGCATATTTCTGCATTTTATACACAGGAACTACTTCTACCGACAACAACCTGGGTAAATATATGATACAGAATAGACAACTTTCATGAGCAAGCGAACTTGCTTTGTTGAAACAAGAGGCGGCTAAAAGTCCTAGCACACTAGCTTGTTGAATAGCTACTAGCATGCTAACGTAGTAAGCAGTAATGGTGATGAGCGAGTGGATCGCCGATTAGGCCGCGGCGTGCAGGCAGCATGTTGTACTATTAACAGCTTGTCCATTTGGTAAGCGTGCAATATAATTAAGGTTTGAGGGAATACCAGTGTATAAAGACGTATTCACAGCCATTATTATCCTTATCCAGCTGCATTGATCTATGAATGGATGTTAACGCTACTTACGGCTTTGCAGGCCCGGCAGTGATCAGCGTTATCTAACGTGTTAGTGTCTGCTGCTGCTTGAAACTTTTTTATTTTTGCTTCCATTATCCGTGCAGCTTGGACCCAAGAAAACGAAGTAGTAATATAATTCAGATTTAAACTCAACACTGTGACATACTGTATCGAGAACAAATGGGCTAACTTAATGTTATCAGACGTTACTTGAAATGTAATATAGCATTTCTAAACGTTACCTTTGATGGCTAACGTTAGCTTTAGCATTAACTGAAGCGGTAACGCTCGGCACCTGGATGTTTGGCTACATAAGCTGACATGTTGGCTACTTAAAATGTGAGTGTAGCGGTTTTTGTGTATGTAACTTAAGTAATTTGTTTCTGCAAATACATATCTTACGTGATTTCAGTGAACTGTGAGTATGTGGCTTCCTCGCTACTGTGTGTGAGTAGCAGTGCTTCTCACATGTTGTATCGTAACCTGATCGCAACTAAGCAGGACTAATGTATTATAATTCTATATCAAAGGAAACTAACGTACATCTTTGAGTGAAGTGCACAGGCTTTGGTTAAAATGTGTTTTTTCAAGAGTAAATTATTATAGTATTATCCGTATTCACATGATAGTCTTTCAGCAGACAGCGCTTTGTGGATAGGTCCGGCTACGCGAGAATAGATGTAAGGCCAACAGTATACATGTTATTCAATAACATATCTTATGGGATATCTCAGTCAACTTTGAATGTGGTTTCGGAGTAGGTTTTGATCAGTGGCATGTATTTTGACTTGGTAACCGCAACTCATTATACATTGTAAAGATTGATTTCAAACATTGTAATCTCTCGAAATAGTTTGCTGGAAACTAACTGAAAACTGTGTTTGCATAACCGTGAAATCAAAAGCAAAGTCTAATATTTTATCTTACCAGTTGTATTATGATCTTTGATATTTGTGCTGAGACATACTGTATGATTAACAAGCACTAGGGTTTTGTGTTCAGAGGCAAGCTTCCCTATTTTGCCAGTTGTGTTGTTGGTCAACAGTATGTGGCTGAAAATTAAATATCACATGAATTAGATGGTGTTGATATCAATGTTTGTCAGGAACTTCTAGAGGAGTCATATAAAACAGAAGTTTAAAACAACTGACCAGATGTAATGTTAAGTTTTTGTTATTTATTTTGTAGAGAAGTCTTAATTCAATCTTCCACTTTGCCTGCTATATCTTGTCCCTGATTGGCTTGCTTTGGCGTGGTTAAAGCAGACTGAACAACCCTTTTAGTAGTTCATGTAAGGAGCATGTGGTTACTTGCATTTTTCACTAGCGTGACTATTGAATATATATTTACATCTTTTTATGTTGGAGCTGCATTCTCTTTTGCTTAAGTTTTAAACCTTTTTGTTTCCAGTGCTGAGTGAGGGACAAGCACGGCAGTGATATTAAGAGAGCCTTTGAGAAAACCAGGGGCAGCAGCACAATGGAATGTGCAGTGGACATCCCCTCAGGTGAGTGATTCATTGTCAATTACATATTTTTCCACATTTTATTTTATTTTATTTTAGTTACCCTTCCACCCCCCCAAATGCTTGAGCTGTATTTTTTTACCTCAATGTTGGAAAGACTTTACTGTGCATGTTCTTTGTGGAAACATGTTAACATTACTGCAAAGAACAAACTATAGGAACTCTTCGTAATAAAGAAAAAAGTCCCACAAATATAACATAAAGTTTACCATGCCATATCTTGCTATGGGTATTCCATCTGCATGTGCTGTTTTTTCAAGTTGAAAGTGTAACTGGGATCTGCCAAATGTCTCTTAGCCGTTTAATATATAAATGTAGCTCTTTGTGTACCTTCAACATTTTGCACAGGTAAATGTATAATTCAATATACACAAGCTTTTATAAGGAGCCAAACTAACTGTACTAATTTTAATCACAGCACAAATCAAATATCTTGCTCTATAAGTTTTGCACTTGTTATGGATTTGCCAAATGCTAATTTATCTGAAATACTGGCCACCCTGTCCAGGTGAAGATGAGGCCCCTGAGAAAGACGACATAATTGCCAAGGAAGGGAATGATCCGCCACACAAGAAAAACAAGAAGCACAGAAAACACAAGAGCAAGAAGAAGAAGAAAAAGAGAAAGGGGGAAAAGGAGAGCAGTTCAGAATCTGGTGCTGAGTCGGATGTAGAGCCAACACTACCACAGAAGCCCCTCAGGAACACCAGAGCCAGGTCTGTTATTTAAGATTTTACATGTTTTATATTCTGTGTAATTGTCTAGAACAGGGGTGGGCAATTATTTTTTCCATGGGGCCACATGAGAAACTGAAAATATTGTGGAGGGCCGGGCCAAAAGGCTGAACTCAATTCTGCATAATATTAATTGTATTTCTTTATAAAAAGCAGTAAATAGCATTGTTTTGACAAGCTGGTAAGAGTATATGTTATAGTTAAGCAATGAAAAAGTGAGGTTGCCTTACAAAAAAATGTCATTTATTAAATCAAATTTCCCAAAACAATGGTAAACAAAATGAATGTTTTTCACCATTTGTGACTCATATTAGTGAACATTTTCAGTCACATTCACTCAAACACATTTTGAGTTTCATTTACTGTTGGAAAGAGGTTCTTAGCATTCTAAAGACATCACAATATTGTCTTTGTACTCCAAATATTAAGCAAGATACATCATATTGAACTGTCACTAAACATCACTGAACTGTGATTTTGAGAAAAAGGCTTCCAAAGAAAGTGTCCCAGTTCACTGCTAGTTGGTGCCTTTACATGCCAACATTTGTAGTCTAACCACCTCATTTGGTGTTTTTAAGTTCTATTTTCTTGTTCAGTGAGAGAAATCTAGTCTCTGCTGGGCTTTAACGAGTGCATCAAAGTCAGGTTGAATGTCTGAGGTGGAGATGCGAAGCACAGCTGACAGATGATCATCAGTGAGAGAGGATCTATACCTGGATTTCGTAAACTTCATAATTGAAAATGTTTGTTCACATATGTATGCGTGTCCATGCACTCGTTTACCTCCGTGAACAGATCGCTCCCTGTCGTCGTCCCTTTCATCGACCGCATTGCTGCCAGCTCCTCCGTAATCTTGAAGTCCGGTGTTATCCCGCGGACGAATACGAGTAACTGGGCTGTGTCGCGGACATCACAGCTCTCGTCCAAAGCCAAGGAGAAAAAGTCGTAACTTGCCACTTCACGTTGCAGCTGAAGCTCCAGATTCCCCGCAATGTCCTCGATCCTTCTAGTCACGGTTCGCCTGGACAGCGGGACTTGCTCAAATGCGGCTTTTTTTTCAGGGCATATTAGTGCTGCAGAGTCCACCAAGCACTCTTTCACAAACTCCCCCTCCGAGAACGGCTTACTGTTTTTAGCAATTTTGTGGGATATCACAAAGCTGGTCATGGTTGCTGCATCACTGGATGTGTGAAGCTTGGTAAAAAAGCCTTGCTGCTTTTGCAGCTTAGCTAGCAAAGCTTCCGATGTCCGCGCCCTTTCAGCGTCAGTCAAGTTTTTATATTTCTCCGCGTGTTTCGTCTCGTAATGTCGACTCACATTGTACTCCTTAAACACGGCGATCTGCTCCCCGCAAACTAAACACACGGTTTTACCTCCGACTTCAGTAAATAAATACTTAGCAGTCCAATTTTTGTTGAAAACCCTGCATTCAGCATCTACCTTTCTTTTTTTAGCGGACATTTTTTTGAGGGCTAAAGTCGTCTTGTGACAAGGATCCAATAATGTGCACGTCTTGATATACGTATTGCGTCATTATGCACGTGAATAAAAAACAACTTCAAAATAAAAGCAATGCAGCTTTAGTCCATGCATGAGGTAAAGTTAGAAAATATGTTTATTTTGTAATTTCCAATTAGCCTTACACGGGCCGGTCAGAGTCAACCAAAGGGCCGTATGTGGCCCGGGGGCCGTACGATGCCCAGGTCTGGTCTAGAATATGGTTTGGAAAAAAAAATCCCTTTTATTATCTAGGGAGATTTGTCTTAGAAAAGCCACCAATCTCATTCAATGGATTTATTTTATGCCTAAATAAGATTTTTGGATCTTACCCAAACTATAAAGGAGAATCCTATTAATTTGTGATAAGCATTTTTATAATTAACAACTAAGAAAACCATAAAATGTTTCATTTTCTTTGTTTTTGCAGTGCCAGAATAGCAGCAGCCACAGGAGTTGGAGACCAAGATGGGCTAAAGGAGGAGGGCAAAAAGGATGTAATTACAGGTAGGAGTCCCTGACACAACCTCATTCATATTTTCTTTGCAAATAATTATTTTGTTTTTTCATAATAGTTTTTTATACAAAACAAATCACTTTTTCTTGTAGCACGTGCAGACATGGAGGGAGATGCAAAATCCAAGAAACACAAAAGACATGCTGCAAAAAAGAAGAAAAAGAAGAGAAGGAAGGATGAAAAGCAGGAGAAAAAATCCCCATCTCGATCCCCATCTGAAAGCAGCTCAGCTTCAGGCTCTGAGTCTGAAGGTGAAGGAGAAAAAGTTGCTGCTGATGTTAAATACTCTCCAGCTACAGCATCTGACCTGCAAGAACCAGTGTCCAAACTGGTTTCAAAAAGCAAACGAGGGGAAAAACCTGAATTAATTGGAGTGAAGAAAGATGAGTTATCAGGGATGGATGTGTCCCCATCGGCGGGGAAGGACTCGAGCAACAATATATCAGAAATGAGTGTACGGTCACCCTCCGCATGCCACGATGATATTACCCAGACAGCGACTGTTCAGGTTAAGATCGAGGGTAGTCATGCTGATGGTACATTCAGCCATGCACATGAACTTCCTGACATTATCCCTAAACAGGAAGGTGCCACCCCAAGAGATGACCCAAGCCTGAAAGAGCAGTCCAACTCAGTTCAGAAGACAAGGGACAGGGATGGCATTTCCTCTAGGTCTCCTTCTCCTTCCAGGGACCTAGATATTAAGAGATTGGGGTCAGTTCATAGTCGTTCACCAACACCTACTCCTATTAGGGAGCAGGCTGATGGGCAAACAACAGCAGCAGCAGCAGCGACTGCAATGAAAGAACGGTCAAGAACTCATTCCAGGTCAAACTCTAAGGAAAAACGGTCCATAACTCCTCTAAAGACACGGCAGCTGTCCCAATCTCAGTCCCCTAAATCTAAGATGAAGTCAATCTCTCCCAAGAGAGCAGCCCGCCAGTCCCGGTCTACCTCTCGCTCCCTCACCCCGAAGAAGAAGGTGTCAAAATCTCCAAGGAAGTCCAAGTCCCCTAAACGTCGGAGGAGTTCATTGTCTGTTTCTCCAAAGCGACGCAGAAGTTCTCACTCACCTAAAAGAAAGGTGTCCCGATCCCCTAAACGGGGTGGGCGCAGGTCCCCCTCTCTATCCCGATCTCCAAAGAGAAATCGGAGGTCCGAGTCACGTTCCCGTGGAGGAAGGCACTCCAGGGCCCGCTCACCTAGGCGAGGTGGTGCAGTTGGCAGGCGTTCAAAGTCGCATTCCGTCACGAGAACTCGTCGCTCAACTTCTAGATCAAGACGCCCTGTTCGTCGCTCCAGAACACGTTCACCGGGAAGACGTGCAGGAGGTAGGCGCTCGAAAAGTCGATCCTTGTCTCGGCGAAAGAGGTCACCACCCCCTAGAACCCGCCGATCACGCTCCCGTTCGACCCGCAAAAGCAAGCGCGCTCGGTCAAGATCCGTTGTAGTCCTTAAGCCAGGTCGACGTTCAAGATCCAAGAGTCCCCGCAAACAGACCAAATCCCAAACACCTCCCTCTCGGAGGCGCTCCCGTTCCCCTGCCAGGAGAAATCGTTCACCACCAAGGTCTGGCAAGCGCTCCAAATCTCGCTCGTTGTCTCGAAGGCATCAGTCAAAGTCAAACTCACCAGTACCTATCAAGAAGAAGTCCAAATCTCCTAGGAAGGGTGGAAGAAGGTCAACGTCTAAATCCGCCTCAGCAGACTTGAGCAGATCTAGGTCCAGGTCTAAGTCAAGTAATGGGGGGTCTGACAACTCACCAGCCAGATCTGCGTCTTCCTCTCCTGTCAAAGAGATAAAGCCTTCCTCTCCTGAGGCAGAGCAGACAGAAACTGAAGGATTATCTGCCACAGCAGGTCAGAGTCTTTTCCTTGCTTTGTTTAAAATTAAAATTGACGTTGTTCCTAAAATTGCTCTTCACTTATGGCGCGTTTCCACTACACAGCCTCGCTCGGCCCCGCTCGGTATGGCTGGGCCTCGTTAGGACTGGCTCACTTTATGGCGCATTTCCATTACAGTTTAGGAACTGGGGCAGTATCTATAGTAACGCAGTGTAGGCGGAGCCATGACGTGATCTTCAGAGGACCCCAGAAAAACAACACAGCCGTTAGCTGTTAGCACTCAGAGCTCACAGCTCCTCATATATGTTCAGAAACTAGACAAAAGTTAAACAAGTACACACCACAGACTGCCTGTGTCATGGTGAATACAGTCGCTGCTTTATTTATGTCTGTATAGGCCGTTGTTGTGAGTGTGGACGGTCGGAGCATATACTGCGTTAGCTTAGCCAATCTCCATCTAGAAAACACGCATTTTAAAAGGTTTTTCCCCTGCCGTCTGTCTGCAGACTTGACAAAGCATTAATTCATGGTTTTACTAACCGGTATCAGTATGTTGTTACTTCGGCATCATTTTGAAACGTGTATTACAATTAAATCACGGTCAAATATGTCCATCTTGTTGTAGTTGTAGCCCCCTTGCCAGCGACGTCTCTCTAGTTTAGCATACTCAGCCTCGTTGTCTCTGGCCCTGGACCCACGATTTTATGAGGCCAGAAAAACTGTGAATTAGGACCCGCCGGCCGGTACTAGGCCAAGTGGAAACGCAACCAAAGACGGGCCGTTGACGTCACAGCCCTCTTAAACCGGGCTGCGGGCTGTAGTGGAAACGCGCCATAAGTTCCCAAGAGTGTGAGCCTACTGTTGTAAAAAAAGTTAAATTCACTTCTATTCTCCAGGAAGAGGCACATGTTATTTGCATATTCATTTGACTTGATCCCACAGGATTTAGGAAAATCTGAATTGCTAGATATCATCTTGCACTTTGTTTGCTCAGTTTACCAATCAGTAAATTATTATTTAATACTGGTAGTGTAAACAGATATTTAAGTATAGATATATGTAAAGCAGGATCTCATACCCTCAGTTACTTGTTTTTCTGTTTCCTTAAAATGTTCTAACATGTCTTAATATACCATGTAGGTGCTTGGAAACCAATGCCCTCAGCAGCTGCCTCCATCCCCCAGGCTGAGAGTCCCACAAATGCGTTGCAGGAGCTAATTCAGATGTTTTCTCCGAACCACGACAAGGAACAGATGGAGGATGCCAGCTCATCCAATGAACAAGATGTTTCCAAGTCCAGATCTGGATCTCGAGAACCCGGCACTGCCCCAGACGTGTGCGAGCTTTCAGAAGGTTCGGATGTAGAAGCGGGTTCTTCCTCTCCTGTTAAGCAAAAGTCACCCTCACCTACGGATCGCAGAAAACTTCGCTCAACTTCTTCACCCCGACGATCAGCATCCAAGTCTAAATCCCGAAGGAGGCAATCTAGGTTTGTTGTGTGTGTGAATGTTTATATGTGCCCGTCCCATATATCAAATCCAAGTTCTCTGAGTTCTTAAAGAGATCAACATGTAATACCTTTCTGTTTGTTTGTAGCCTTTATTTAACCAGGTGAAAGCCCCTTGAGATCAAAAGATCTCTTTTTCAACGGTGACTTTCTAGAGCTTACAGTAATTATTGTTTAAAGACCTTATAAAATTAGACTGGAAAGGCATCTTATTGCAGACCCAATGCTAAGCCAACTTTGTAGATGTAATTAAAAGGTTCAGATGATGCATATGCTTAATTACTTATCAGTCTTATCATTCCTGTGTTCTCAGGTCCAAGTCTCCTGTTAGGAAAAGAGATTCTGTCTCTCCGTCAGAAAGAAAGAAGCGGCGTTCCAAGTCTCGGAGTCCCACTCGGCGGCGGAGGTCACGCTCTACCGGGCGGCGCAAGCGATCACACTCCAAGACACGGACCAGAATTCGCCGTTCCAAGTCTCGATCTCCAACCAGAAAGCGGCGTTCCCGCTCACCCAATGCCCGTGGGAGAAGGAGGTCCAAGTCCGCAGACAGAAGCAAGCGATCCAAGAGCCGCTCCACAGGCCGGAGGAAAAGGTCGGTGGACAGAAGCAGGCGTTCAAGGTCTCGCTCTTCTGATCGCAGACGAAGGTCTAGGTCGAGGGGCCGAGGGAGGCGCCCGGTGTTTCGAAGTCGTTCATTTGATAGGCGAGACAGGTGGAAAAGGGAACCCAGCCACTCTCCAGTTCTAATTCTCCGCAAGCAGCGCCGCTCAGGGTCCCGTACACGACGCAGCACCAGCAAGACTCCTCCACGCCTCACTGACCTGGGTAAATAACTTTTAATAGTATCTATGAGAATCACACATTACATTTATCATTTATTCATGGTCCAATTTTTGTATAATATTTCTAAAGGTTTACACTGCTTGTATGCTTAACTCTATTTATTTTACTTATCTATACCAATTTGCATTACCCCCTCCTCTCTTTCTTTTACTTATCTATACCAATTTGCATTACCCCCTCCTCTCTTTCTTTTAGATAAGGATCAATTACTGGAGATAGCCAAAGCTAATGCTGCTGCCATGTGTGCTAAGGCGGGAGTGCCCATTCCTGAGAGTCTTCGGCCGAAAGCCATCCTCCAGCTTCCTCTACCCACTCCATCTCCCACCCCCCCTCTCCTTACCGCTACCCTTACCTCTCTCAATGGGCATGGGGATGTCCAATATGCAAAACATGGGTCAGATGGGGATACCCAATATGCATGGAATGCCCAACATGTCAAACATCACCATGTCTGCCGCTATGGCAAGCATGACAGCAGCTACTATGACCGCTGCCTTGACCAACATGGGTGCCCTAGCAGCCATGCCTCCCCTTGCCCCGCTCCCTACCATCACTAACAAGCCTCCCCCATGTCTTGCCCCTCCACAACCAACCCTTAACATGGACCACATCGTGGAAGCAAAGAGGAAGGTCACTCAGCAAGCTAACATTCACACCATCAAGGAGCTTACTGAGGTGAGTAGGGGGCTGTATTTGTGTTTATTATTGAACACTGATTGATTATACTTTTGTAGTAATAATATTCACATGAAAGAATATTGAAGAAAGTCCTGTGGGTGTGTTATTTTTGGGTGTTTAATTGCACAGTTGTGTTAAGTAAGAGTAATGTATTTTTTTTTGTGTGTGTGATTTTGTAGAAGTGTAAGATGATTGCAAACAGCAAGGAGGAGATGGCCATTGCTAGACCCCATGTCTCAGATGACGAAAGCTAAAACCGCAAAGCTCTCAAGGTAACATTTTCAAAGTGAATTCTTCCAGTTCTTTGTCTGTGACCTTGTCTTTGTATTCTATTCAATCCATTTTGGTCATTTTTATAATCACTTATGCTCTGCATATTAAATAGACAAGTTTTAGTTATAAGGAAATGAAATGTTCTATGTAGACATTAAATGGTGACCTAACTTGACCCTTTCTTTCTCATTGTCTGCACACAGCCAGTCCCCTCGACTGAAGGAAAATATAACAAATGCTTATAAAGGAGGACTTACCTTCATACAGTTCTCATTGGCAGCCAGCTGCCCTGACTGAGCCTCATACACCAAGAAGAAGAAAAGTACCCATGTTGTCACAATTACAATATAGGCGCGCCGTCACCAGCCACTGCCCCACCCAGATCCCCAGTTTGTTTCCGTTTGTGTGAGAGAGAAAGACTCAGACTGTCATATGTGAGACCACTGAGTTAACTGGACACACTGACATGTTGTATGACTGCATAGTGAGTCTGTATGTGTGAATTGTTAGTCCGTTTGTGTATATAGTGACTTTCACCACCTCAGTGTTGCTGCTCATTTAAGCGGTCACTAACTAAAGAGGAAACAAACCAAACTAACTAGTGGCGCAAGTGTTTTTGTATAAGATTAGTTTCTCTAAATGTATTTTACTTTTATCCTTTCTTAAATAATTGTGTTCAGTGGGGACTGTTCTTCTGCATTCCCCTCAGCTATCTCTAGTCACTGGTTTTATAACAGAATAATGCAGAGGAAGTTTTGCTAGATCCCCACATGTGTTTTCAAAAGCCTGAGTCTCCAGGCCAACAGATTGGCAACATGTTGTGAATCCTTGTACAGGGCGTCGGATCTGATTATTTTTGAAGGAATGGAACAATTGAATTTATTGGCTGTAAAGAAGATTTGAATTCATCATCTTCATTTACAACACAGAATTGATTCAGTTAGCACTGCCCTGGGTGTGATTTTCGTTTCCTCTATTTTTAATGGCAACAACCTAATCTTTGGTCTCTGGTGTTTCATTTGGGCTTTGTTGGTATTTTATTTTACTTAAAAAAATGGTTTGCTGTATATTCAAATGGACATTTCATCTGCCACACTTGTAACAACAATTTCCTAACATGCAGTGTTGTGTATTTTTGCACAGCAATATTATATATAATATGACTTGAATTAAGATGCACAAAAAGATGCCATGATAGCGTTTTAACGACCTTTGGTCAAGGGCAAACATTTGAAAGGTCTGTATTTCTGTTATCTGGTTTTGATTTGAAAGCAATGCTGCTTGATAGTGGTCTTGGAGATCCCAGATATTTGGACTTTGCCAACAGAACAGAACCTCCAATTAATCCCAAATTAAGATCACAACTAAAATTAGATTGACTAGACAATGTCTTGTTTTCTGATGAGAAACCAGATGGGTTAAATGACACTTCCAATACACTTTTTTTCCCTTTCTAGTTCACACAGTGATTTAATAAATGATAAACAATAGCCTATGTTTTATAATTAAAACATGGTTAATATCAGTGGCTTTTTAAACAGGCACACATTGTAATTCCTGCATCTGGGGTTATAGAGTTGAATGTATGTAGTTGAGCCTATCCCAAACGGAACCATTGTTTAAATTCCTTATGTATTGGACAATCAGGTTATTTGTCTCAAAATGCTTTTTGAAAGAAAAAACTACAAAAAACCCGTGAAATGTAAACATCTTTACGCATTGTAGTTGGTGCAAAACAGAAGAGAAGATTTTCAATGTGCAAACATAATGAGAATCTCCCCATACCAGCCGTTTTTATTGACACCCCAAACTCATTTAATATCTGCTTTACTTCTGAATGTTTTTGACTTTGGCTTTTAGTAGATCTTCTGCATCGGGGTGAACTGGGTCCATGTTTCACAAAATGCTTTTGTCCCATCAGATACCAGAAGAACAAAAACAAACTAGGCGCTTTTGGGAAAAATGTCAGGGATTAAGTTTTAAAGAATCGTGCTCTCATTTTCATTGGAGAGGGAAATAATTCTTTATTATTCTGTGTTGACCTCCCACGCCCAGGGCTGGTAAACTGTGGTAGATAATCTGTATTACTTTTTTGTCAAACTGTAACTTTACTGATCGTACCAAAATCGTTTTTGAGCTGTTGAATTGATTCCCTGAGGTAATCTTTAGCTATTTTATGACCGAACATAAGAATAAAACTCATTTTAGGATTCTTTTTTTGGGGGGGGGGGTTCATTTGAATACGACATTGCCTGCATTGTACATAGATGTGTTGATGATTATTAAAAACCTCAATGATCTGTATAGACATGTGTATGCTGTGTTCATTTAGTCAGGCTTATCATTTAAGACTGTATATCACTTGGAGCCAGAAAGACTATTTTAAAACAGTTTTTCAATCAAATCAAGTTTAAGAATATTAAGCTTTTTATCTGTTAAAGCTAAAATGTGTATCAAAAATCTCACCCCATTTTTATGAGCTGTTTTTCCAAATGACCTGCCCATGAACACACATTTCTACATTATCTAATAATAATCCAAGTTACTAGCTGAGCACGCTGACAACATAAATTACCTGCTCCAAACTGTCACAATGACGAGTCCATTTCATGATCAAACGGTTAATAATTCTCAATCCACATGTAAAGTAGATTGTGTGCTGTGTGTCACAGTGCATGAGTTTCCTTGGTTTAAAATTAGACTGCGCTGCCAGGTGTGAATGGGGTCATAGAATAAATGTAAAGTGCAGTGACATTGGCCCGGTTATGCATTGCTCAGCAGTGAGCGAGCAGCTTTCAGTTCTATAATTGAAAGCCTTCACAGCGGAGATGGAGCCCAACAGCACAACCTGACGGTACAATTTATTGATTTGCAAGACTGCTTGCGCGTGGGCAGTTTGTGTGTTGGCCTCGCAGAAAGAAAGAGAAGATAGATACATATAAATACATGTTTTTATATGAGTGTTTGAAGTGGGCTGATGCCAGCATCTCATTTTCTATGTGCTGGGATAAGTAGAAAATCCTTTCAGAAAATGTTGGAGCCAGAACGTCTTGTAGTTATGAAACCATCCTACAAGTGGTGCACTTTCCCTTTGTTTCAAGTGTAATTTTATTATGCAGGTACGAGTTAAATGAAGGAATTTTGGATCCTCTCCATCAACACAAGTTCTCTTTAAATCACTATTACTTAAAGCTCCAAAAGAATGTTGATTGATTGATTGAAAAGTTTATTAACAGCTTGTATATTGGGTACAGTACAGTACAGCTCAAAACATACAATTGTTAAGGGGATGCAGACCAGAGAAAGACTTTCGTCTTGTTTACATCAGGGTCCCCCATTTCCAATTCATCATATCATTTAAGACATATAAGACATATATGACATACAGATGGCTTATTTACAATTTACATACAGGTGGTTTTTTACATACAGATGGATTATTTACAATTTTCATTTTAGATTTCGTTCTAATACATCCTAACCGGACATTTAAGACATACCAAGTCTACAGATATACAGTTAGTAACAGAGTCTAAAATGCGAGTATATACATAGATGGGGGGGGGGAAGCTGTCCATTGTACGACAGGTTGAGATTTGTACCATTACCGGGGCCAGTTTTGCAATGCTTTCCCCCGAAGGTGCTCTTTAAGAGAGGTTTGAAGGTAAGTATAGTTTTACTTTCCTTTACAGTTGTGGGAAGAGCGTTCCACCTTGATGTGGCATAATTGCGAAACGTGTATTCCCCTTTTTTTGTGCCAAATCTGGGTTTTACATGATTTGTGGAGCTCCCTCTGGTGTTATGATCATGGTATTCCTTGACCTTTGGGAAGAATTTTGACATGTACATGGGTACCATAGAGGTGTAGTGGATCTTGTAGACCAGGCCCATTGCAAGTAGCTGTACTCTGTCGTCTACTCTAAGCCATCCTAGGTTGTCAAAGTGGGCAGAGGTGAGGTGGGTTCTAGATGAAAGGTCAAGCAGTAGTCTGACCAGTTTATTTTGCGATGTTTGAAGTTTTGTTTTTAGCGCCTTGGAGGTGCTATGGTACCATGACGTGCAAGCATAGTCATAGTACCCTTGAATGAGTGCTCCTGCCAGAGTTTTCAGGGTGTTTTTGTTTACCAGAGAGGAGATCCGGTATAGGAATCTAGTTCTTTGATTGACTTTTTTTATTACATTGGATGCCATTTTGTCACAGGAGAGGTTTGCCTCAAGAATAGATCCTAGGTATGTAATTTCCTTCTTACTTGTGACAATAATGTCACCCACTGCAACTGAGAAGTCGTCGGATTTGCTGAGATTATGTTTCGAACCGAAGAGAATGGACTCTGTTTTACCCAGGTGTAATGATAATTTATTATCGGCGAGCCAGGTGCAGATTCTGCCGAGCTCGGAGCTGAGGGTTTTTTCAACCTGCAATCTGCTCCTGTCAGAGACCAGCAGGGCTGAGTCGTCCGCGAACAGGAACAAGTTGCAGTCACATGCTGATGACATGTCATTTGCATAAATTAGGAACAGTAACGGACCTAATATGCTTCCTTGTGGAACACCACAGCTCACTGGGAGGGGGGGGGACAGAGTACCGTTTACCTCCACCATCTGTTCTCTCCCCTCCAGGTAGGATTGCATCCAGCTCACCGATAGTTTATCAAAACCAATTGCTTTTAGCTTGTCAATCAGAATGGGGTGATTGACAGTGTCGAAAGCCTTTTGTAGGTCCAGCATCACCATGCCGCAGTATTTACCCTCGTCCACCTCTTGTTTGATGTGGTCGGTCAAATAAAGAAGGCATGTGTCAGTGGAGTGGGATGTTCTAAAGCCAGATTGAAATTCATAGATTAGTTTCTTTTCTGCGAGGTACTTTTCGACCTGTTCATATACTATTTTTTCCATGACTTTCGAGATGGAGGTAAGTATAGAAACAGGGCGGTAGTTGCCTGGGTCCAATTTGCTGCCCTTTTTGTGCAGGGGGGTTACTCTTGCAATTTTGAAGTCTTTGGGTACTTTTCCCTGTTTTATGGAGAGGTTAATTATGTGAGCTATGACTGGTGAGATGGCGGTTGCTGTGTCTCTGAGGAATTTGGAGGGGATATTGTCGTGGCCAGTGGCCTTGTTAGGTTTGAGGGCGCTCAGTTTAATGAGTACCTCTGCTGTTGTTACCCTTGCTAGACTGAAATCATCTTTGCGTACCCCTAGGTTTTTGTAGTAGGTCATGATGTGATCTACTCCAAAAAGCCCTGAGTGGGAGGGTAATTTATTTACAAGAGTTGTGGCTATGTTTGTGAAAAAAATGTTCAAGTACTTGGCCACATCCAGTTTGTCTGTGATGAGCCTGTTATCTGTCTTTATGTTTACGTTTGAAAATCTCGTTTTGAGTTTTTTACTGCAGCCAAGCTGGTTATTGAGTAATTTCCAAAGTTCACGGGGTTTATTTTTGTTTTCCTCAGTTTTGTCATTGATGAAATTCTTTTTGGCAGTTTTGATCATGGAGCTTACGTCATTTCTTAGTCTGTTTCTTTCAATTTTTAGTTCAGTCACGTGGGCCTGGAGTTCACTGCTCGTGCTTTTGGAAAGCATTGACTGACTTTTATGAAACTCAGAGCATTTTTTGTCTCTGGTTTTCATGGCGGTCAGTATGCCGGAGTGCATCCACGGCTCAGCGCGATTTTTTACCCTGGTTGTTCTTAGGGGGGGCCAAATCATTGAGTATTGCAGAGAATTTGTTTTTGAAACCAAGCCATGTTTCTTCAACTTGTGTACCACTGAGCTCATCTGACCAGTCCAGGCTCTCCAGTTCTAGGTTAAAGGCCTCGCTAGAGTAGTTTTTGAGGTCTCTAGATATGACTGTTTTGTGACAGCCGGCCTTTTGTTTTAGCTTTTTGCGGGTACAGAATATCATATAATGATCACTTAAACCGCATGCTATAACCCCTTTACTGGAGATCCTGGACCTGTCAGAGGTCAGAATGAGATCAATGGTAGTTTGTGTTGTTTCACATACCCGGGTGGGTTGGGTGATTAGCTGGCTGAAGCCGTGCAGATCACAAATCCTACTGAAGGACTTGAAGACGGACGTGTCTTTACGTTGCATATCCGTGTTCCAGTCTCCAATAATAATTGTCTCTACATCCCCCACATCAGCCAAACACCCATCTAATGTATCATAATGTATCATGTTAAGGAGCAGAGGTAAAGTATACTTTGACACATGAAATAACCCTCAGGAATCAATAATGTATATCTACTTCTAAACACTTTATATTCAGGTTATAAATGTCTGATTTACTCTGATGGTAACCAGGGCAGTCTTGATGAAGAAAGATGAAGAAAGCTTAAAAGGCTTTTAATCTGTGGATTTGCTGACTGACCAGGGTAAAAAGGTAGTTTCTGCCTCAGTCTTCATCATGGGGTTTAGTACATTTACATAACAAATATAGTCAATATATGCTTAAAGGTCTTTCAAGAGTTTTGACAGTGATTGACACTTTTTAGTTCATATTTCTGTTGAAACCAGGATAAGATTTAATTGTTAGCTTTCTGACGATAATTTTTCTCTTTAAGATTTAACAAGTAGGAAGGTCACATTCATTGTTTTTATTCCCCACATTATCTTAAAGTCTCTTGTTGAAATGAAAGGCAAGCAATTCTGTATCTGCAACATATGTATTTGGGAAAGGTAAATGCATGTGTTTCTGCATGACACGTGATTAGCATGCATGTCTGAAGTTGTGTCATCTCACAAATATAACGTTAACTTGTACATAGTGGGAAAGTAAGGGACTATGCATAAGTTATTGGGTTGCAGATACATTGAATCTAGTGTAAAATAAAGTAATACATATTTTTTAGGGTTGGTTTGCCTGGCTGAAATTCTGGGGGCTGAGATGCAAAATGGCTAGCAGAGGTTAATGCACATCTGAATGAAGAAACATACACCAAAGATGTCAACAATGTCAAATGTCTTCATAGAAAATACATTTTTTATTCCACTCCCAGTTTCCAATATTATTTTCCTAAAAAGGGTTACTATGTGTGAGTAAGGGTCTGAACCAACTGCAATCTCTGAAAGAGTAACTGTTTACATATTCTGAGCCAATTGCTGTCATTTCATCTGTGGACTGCAATTACATTAATCAGTAATTACAGGGACATGCCTTCCTGTCTGTGTGGTGTGTGCAGTTGTTTACACACAGCAGTCACGTTTGCATGTATAAGTATGAGGGTTGCATACTGAGGAGTTAGTGAGTCATTGGTTTTTGCAGATCAATGGCTGTCAGTCGATGGATGGCTGAGTGCTTTGCAACGACCA